TTTCAGGGAGCAGCTTGCTGCCTCCTGAGGCCCAGAGGCTGCTTCCCTCCATCCTGATGGCCGCATCCCTCTCACCGTGGGATAGAACAGGCCCCCCTGGTCCACCTCTGAAACTGGTTTAATGGGAGCCTGTGAGCACTGGATTGGAGAGGTGGGTGGGGACAGGCAGCTGATCCCTGCATTTAGCAAGACTGAGGCTTCTTGGAGGTGTTGAGGGTAACACCTGACCCCAAACCTCACGTTCCCCTCTTGCTAGCCACTGTGTGCCCGAGGAGAGCTCAGTTTTTTCATCTGTAACATGGGGACAATCACAATTTGTCGCAGAGACAAAACATGGGGTGTGTGCCTGGCAGAGATGGGGTTTTTTGGGCAGACTCCCTGGAAGAGGTGTCCTCTGAGCTGCCCCGTGTGCCCTGTAGGGAGCGCCAGGCAGCCTGCAAACAGGTGTGCCTTGTTGAGAAGAGGCTGAAGGATGTGCTGCTGCAGGTGGAGGATGAACGGAGGAATTTCAAGGACCAGGTGCCACCCCTGGTGTGCTGGGCTGGGGCTGAGGAACAGGGGCACTGCCGCAGCCTCTAACCAGGCCACTGCCCGCCCGTCTCCACAGACTGACGAGGTGTCTACCCGCCTGAAGAAGCTGAAGCAGCAGCTGGAAGAGGCCCAGCAGGCCAATCCCTCGCGCAGGCAGCTGCAGCGTGAGCTGGAAGACGCCACCAGAACTGCCGACGCCATGAACTGTGAGGTCAGCTCCCTCAAGAACAAGCTCAGGTGAGCCCCATCCCTCCCAGGCCTTGTCACCACTGCCTCCACCTAGGCCCTGCACTTTTGGGCTTCTCCTAAGGCACTTGGCTCTCAGAAAATTCATCTCCTAGACTCAATGACATTCCTCAGCAAACAGGAAAGTGCCTTTCTCAGATCCACATGTGCCCCGTCCACCCAACTCTTGCCCCTGCCCCTAGTTTCTCTTGCCCTGAGGCTGTTTAGCACAGCCATGTGTAAGAACAGTAAACTCTGGGGCTTATTCCCAACCTCATCCAAGTCCATCCTAACTGGATGAAGACATTTCCCTGGTGAGTGCTTTTTGTTTTTCTAGAATTAATTTTATCTGAGAACAGCAAATGGCATAATGGTTATCTCGCTGGACTCCCATGAAGCTGACTGCATTTCGAGTCCTGGACGTGGGGACGGAAAACTCATGCCAGGCACATGTGCTTTTGTGCCCGAGAGGAGAATGAAGAAGGGATTGCAGCGTGGCCACCCAAGGGTGATTTCTTGCTTTCTGTCTCTGTCTCTGGTGAGACCCAGTAGTGCTCTCAGCAGAGTTACTTGGGAACCTGCTGTCCTCTTGGAGCTCCAGAGCAGAGCATCCCTTGGGTTCTGAGTAGTGGCCACCTTTTTTTTTTTTTTTTTTTTTT